CCTCCCCAAACCCCACATTGGACAGAACAGCGCGGGTATTTCACCGAAACAAGCTGTAACCAATACAATACATGCACAGCTTTCAACGACAGTGTCAAACCCATTTGCACACAACAGAACACACGAACATCAGCGGCCGGTCAGGGTCGCCACAGTATTTTAGACTGACTTTTGTTTTGATCTCAAACATTATCTTGGTAAGGAAATTGTACTTAAAGAATATGATATATAAACCACCCTAACAAAAAAACAAACAAAAAACAAAAAAACAAAAAAAACAAACAAAAAACAAAAACAAAAACAAAAACAAACAAAGCCATTAATTTTTTTTTTATCAGAATAGCTTTACCAGGTAAAGCTTGTCATACCCCTTGTTTTTTTTGCAAAGAAACTTTGCAGTTGCAAGCAGATTTTAAAGACTGTAAAAGTTTTATTTTAACTTTATGTACAAAACTGATCTTACAACAGATTCATATTCAGGCAAAACATGTGCTTGGGGTAACATCAAGGCAAAACACAATAAAATAAGAATAAAATATGGATAAAATTCATTACATACAGTTCTAGTTTTGACAGCTTTAGAGAATGTGCAGTATTTGAACATGTCAGCATTTTAAGTAGGACACAAAGACAGTAAAGATAAATTTAACAAATTTGCTTTAGTTAGGCCTATAAGAAACTTTTGTAATAAAGGCTTTAATGGCATACCCCGCATTCTGTTGGCAGATATTTAATCGGTAAAATAGGCATACCTACAGAAAAACCAGTGTCCCCTGGATCATTTTCCTACTATGTTTTAGTAGCTTTGCAATAAGAAAAACAGCTTCCGGCGACGTCAGTTTATTAAGCCAATCAGAGCACAGACGTTAGCGCACATTTCAAACGCCGTAAACACGAAACGGACTGCTAGCGAGTTAGCCGCACCCTGACGAATTATCTTCTGACTTTTAATCTGACTGTGGTGTAACCATGAGATTGAGGTTAGTAATTAACATCTTTATTAGTCTGTCCTCTAGTTAAAACAGTAATACATATTTAGCAAACATGTTGCTGGTTAGCCTGTTGATTTTAGATAAGTCAAGTGCTAGCTTTGCTGTGAAGAGCGGCACGTAACGCTATCTTGTATCACACGTCTGTGTATATGCTGCAGTGAAGAATTTTGAATTGTAAATACATTAATTTCATGATACATACGACCTAGTATCACTTAACTTTAATGTTATAGCTAATACTACAGCAAATGCAGCTAACGTTAGCCTGCTTGGTGAATGAAATGATGTCCGTATTTAACGTTAGCCAAGTTAATTATCCCCTAATAAACAGTCCGTTGAGCTACCTTTATCCGATTTTAAACTCGTCGTTAACGCTGATACTGCACTGGTTTGACTGGTAACAAGTCTGTGGTGTATAACATAACTTCACTTGGGTTTTCTTGCAGTGAAGTCCACGCAACAAAGTCAGTTGCCTACTTCAACAGAACAATGGCCAGGTTGCAGAGCATTTGGGAAGAAATCGGGATTCCAGAGGAGCAGAGACTAAACAGAACTAAAGCTGTTCACAAGCACATTAAAGTGACTCCCGCATTTGTTTAAATTAATTGAAGGCTAATTGTTGACTTTACAGAGCTACCATACAGAGACATTTTTTATTTCCCTTGCCCTGCAGGGTTTGCTAGATCTAATGATTGATGAGGAAGAGGCGCTCAAGGAGAAATTGGAGAAAAACATAGAGATCAATCACAAGGAACTTAGTAAATTATGCAGTGAGCTTCAGTTGCCCCCCTTTGAGGTATAGTACATTAAGGAAATTTAATTTTCTCATACCTGACCGGGAAAACTGCTTACTGTTTGGGCTAACTAGCTGGGTTTCTCTAAAGGAGGAGGTTGGCTACACCATGCTGCAGAAGGAGAAGAACAGCCGCACACATCTAGAGGTGATGGAGCAGCACAGGAGGCAAAGAATGGAGGAGCTTAAAGACTTTATTGTCAAAGACTATAAACTGTGTGATATTATGCGCACTACTCCATTTTCTGTTGACCATGATGCCGTCCCATCACTGAAACAGCTGGAGACATACCGTGCCTACATTGATGATCTGACCAAAGAGAAGGTGTTGCTCATTCTCTTTTTGTTTCACTTAGTCCTTTACTTTAAAATTTAAACTTGTCTCACTTGTAACTGTCTTTTCAGGATCGTTGTCATGATGAATTTATGAGCATAAAGAAAGACATTGTTGTGTGCATGGATGACCTGGAGCAACAGCCAGAGACCAGTTTTGAGATGGATGTGATGTATGGAGATGAGGAGGCATTTTGCTTGTCAAATGACAATATGTCTGCTCTTAAACTGCTCCTCAATCAGGTGATATTTTTAATTAGATGTATGGTAATCTGACATTATGATGTGAAAGGCTGCAATATCACATATTGCATTATATTTTGGATATATGATTTCTTTCCAGTTACAAGAACGCAAGACTGAGAAAGAAGTACGTTGTTCAGCTTTCCGCACTAAGATCCAGGAACTTTGGGATAGACTTCAGATTCCCCAAGAGGAGCGGGAGGCCCTATCTGAGCATATGGTCAAGTCAAAGAAGAAAAACATCGAGGCAGTAAGAAATCATTGACCTTTATAAGTGATTTCAGACATAGTAGTATGATGTTTCACAAAGCACTACTACTAGGGGTGTGGTGGTTAATTAGCACAGAAGATGTCCCTGGCACTGTTTTATGTCCAGTTAGGTCACACAGAGCTTAGTGGTTCCAGTAGAAAGTCACTTTTGGCTTTTCCCATTTAGGGGTTGCCACAGCGAATCGGCACACTGACAACTCGCATGTTGACATTTAAAACGTGGTTTACGCCAGACGCCCTTCCTGACGCAACCCTGATTCGAACCCGGGCTGCAGCGGCGAGAGTGCTGCACCTTAACCACTAGCCTAC